CCTGTCCTTTATAACTCCACCAATTGGTCACACAAGCAGATCTAGGGGACCCCTGGAACCCCTGCGGTCTCGCGATGCCAAGGCTCTGGTAGGTAAGAAAAATTGCCCTGAAAAGAGAATTTGGCCACCATACCATACCATGCCCTGCCATGATGAAACCCCAGCCCACAACCCAACGACGTTTCCTAGCTCCAACCACTTGGATGATGTGAGAATGAAGTTAGTTGTTCCTCTTTTTGCACCACCCAGGATCCCCAAAAGAAAGGAAGAAAAAGGGGGATTCAGCTGCAGTGCAGCGCAGTGACTGAAGTATTTGACACGTGTTTGTCGTTTCGCTTATCATGAATTCGTTGGATGAGAAGGGTTTGGCGTGGCATCATTGGCTCCTGGGCAGGATTGGCATGACATGGCAGGATGTTGGGAAGAAAATCCGGGGTTGCGATACGACTTATAGTGATGTCGTACTTGTGATACCCGAGGGGAAGTTGGGCGTGAATCACGAGGAGGGTGGAGGAAGAGGGGATGGGATTGCAAGGAGAGAGGGCGATGTTACCTCGTTACGTAATGCCCATGTCAGATGCTGATGAAACGAAACACACGGTTTGGTGGTACTGTTTGTTGATGTGACCTGCATACTTCTTTCTCATGATTGCTGATTGCTTCTCGGCTTTAGTCATTGAAACGAGAATTGATCATACTTCCCCTTAGTGTCTAGGTTACCAGAACTTCAAATTTCATGGCCCGCGACGAGATTGGTTCGTTCTATGTAAGGCGTGCTTGTTTGTGCCCTACCTACTCAAGGTAGCTACCCCTCCTTTCTTCGCTCCATACATACCTAACATACATATGACATGCTGGATAACATGACATGAACGTAACCCGACTAGATGATTTTCTAGAACGATAATCGAAGTTATCGAACATTGGTTTGAAGAGCATCGGGTTATCTCCATCCTACCTACGAATAAGGTAACCAATGAGTCGCCTCTTTCCCTCCGAGCCCAATTCCGATACGATCGATGTATGTATGTATGTGTCCCTATATCGTTGGACAAGCACGTAAGAAGTACAACATCCTTACATGCACCTCCTCCGTGTTTCGTACTCCGTACACTTGATGGTGATACACTGATGGTAATATCCCATCACATGTAGAACCCACCCTACAATGAATACCGTACAGCATCTCGGCTTTAGCTCAGCTCAACCACAACGCAACACTACATAACCCCCTACAACACATGATAAGGATAAAAACGTGGCAAAACTTCATTTTGCCAGAACACTACACTACTGCCGGTCTGTAAGACTGCAAGACTGTAACCTCGGTAACCTAACTCCACAGCCTCATCTTATTAACCTATGCGACAAAACGAAAGAAACAGAATGAAAATCATGAAATGGTCCCCAGAACGGTAATTCATTCTGCATATGGTTGTGTACCCCGCGCGGGGGCGATGGTTCCGTTCGGGTCCTAAGTTACATTTGATATGCGGTTGGTTGGTCATTGGATATTCTCCGAGGAAAATCGGCGCGAGGACATTCTTGGAGGATGTTTTGTATCTTACGTTTTTATATTGTATTCCGAGGTTAGGATCCTTTGGAGACTTGGGGTTAAAAGGAAAGCCAATCCAAGCCAAGTTAGGCGTATCATTTGATAGAAGAGATGAAGTTTTTGAATTCATGTGACTGGGCTGAGTTTTCTTCGCATTGTCGGGGTTGAGATAGTATCTTCTATCAGTCTCATGCTCGGAGTAGATTCGGGATTATGGATGGATGGGTGGATTGGGAAGGGTTCTATGCACATAACCAACAGCCTCAGAAATCATGAAAGATAATGTTCACTTCACTACATACACCTTTTCCTTCCTCTTTCACTCTCGAAAAAAAACATCGTCAGTTCGCCTATCGCTCTAAAACCTGAAAACTGCATGCATCGTGCAATGTACTCTTTTCCACAAAGAAGATGAAAAAAGACCTCCACACCGAAACTTTAAGACTTAGCGGCTTCCAACTCCAGTTCCAACTGTCTAATTCTTTCACTCTGGTCACCAGGACCAACTCTCATCTTCAATGTATCAACTTCTTGAGTCAATAGCCCAATTTTCTCGGTTTGTGCTGTGATGGTTTTGGTTTGGGCTTCCAAAAGTTTCTTGATTTCTGCTAGAGAATCTTCGACACCAGCAGTAGTTGGGGATGGTTGAGGAGCACCAACAGCGGAAATAGATCCAGAGGTGGGAATAGTGGCTGGGGTAGGTTTTGCTGCGGGCTCGAATGATGCTGGTGTTGCTTGAGACACAGGAGATGCCTTTGGTGGGGTAGTTTTTGTTGGAACGATTTTGACTGGTTCAATCTTCGCTGCAGCAGGAACTGACTTTTGAATTGGCTTTTGAATCTCCTCAAAACTAGAATTATCATCCCCTTCTTCCTCGTCATCATCTTGGAATTTAGAGGCCATGGCTGAAATGGAGCCCTTTTGCTCGGACATGGATGGTGGAGGTGCTCTTTGTGCGACAGGAGCAGGTTCAGGCTCTGCCTTAGGTGGTGCAGTCTTTGTTGGGGATGGAGTTGGAGCTGGTGCAGCTGCGGGTGGTTTATAATCGGATGGTACCTCAACTGGGGCATTTCCTTCATATACACTTTCCAAATCGATCTTGGCAGGAATTCCGTCTTTACCAGCGAGCCATTCTTCGGCAGTTACCGCAGGTTTCAAACCAATAGCAGGTGGGTAGATATCGGATTGGAAGACTTCGGCTCGTCGAGGAACCGTGAAAGAGATAGGTTCAACATATTGGTCGTTGACGGTCTTGAATCCCTTCATAACTTCGTTCTCATGAACCTGTATACTGTCAGAATAGATGTGCGAAATATATGCAATGATAACTACTCACATTAATACCACGTCTTGGAAGGAATGCGATACCACGTTGTTGATCACTGGACTTATATTCAGACAAGAATTCGAACTTGTCATTCTCATATTCGAAGTATCGAATGTTGCCGTCACTAAACCGTCAGCTAGTTTTCTCTTGAGATCCTCCGAACAACTTACCCCTTGCCTGCCAAGTACAAACATTGTGTTCCATCATCTAAATAATAATTAGCATAAATTAAATGCAATCCATAAATGTAACCTACCCCAGAATGGCATGCAAACACCCGAGATCGAGTCCAAAACGGTGAATCCGCCAATTGGTTCTTTGGCGTTACCAACATCCCACAAAGCTAATTGACGATCACTCATCTTGGAGAATCCAGTGGTAGCCAAGCGGTTATGTTCTCCCATCCATACAACTCTGCTATTCTTTGCTCCGGTATGTCCAGGTCCTTCATGCGCGGGCCTTTCCTGTCTAGTATCCCAAATTCGCAACTTCTTGTCTCGAGATGTAGTGGCCAGAAGAGCTCCGTTTGCGCTCCATGATAAACTTTGTACAATATCTCCGTGCTTCAATGTCAAAGGTGCCCTCCCAGTGCCTACATCCCATAATTTAACCGTGTAATCGCCCGATGCGGATGCGAGGATGTTGTTGGCGGCGGGGTTGAATAGAACTTGTCCGACTTTTCTGCAGATTGTTAAAATCGATTCAAACCTTCTGTGTAGCTGGGACATACCTAGAATGTCCTGCCAATTTGCTGATAGGCGCAACGTCTACTGGTTCCTCGGAATCCTGATAAAGGGTAAAGCCTTCAGGAACCTCCCATATAAATACCTTTCCATCATCAGATCCAGAAGCGATAATGCGATCGTTGAAAGGGTTCCTAATCCAAAGGTGAGAGTTTGTTCCATCGATCACTTATCAACTACTTACCAATCCGTATCAAGAACCGGTCCAGTATGACCTCGAAACAATGGGATTTGTTCTGGCAGACGACCTTTCTCATGCAAAGGAATAACAGCGAATGCGCCTCCACCACTAGCTTCCCAATTGACCGAAAGATATTCAGGATTGGCCTATTTCGATGATGAGCTGCCTTATTCCTCGAGTCTATATCATTTTGCAGGTATTGGGCTTTCCCACCTTGATTAAATTGGTATCCCATGCATTGCGACTGATATGTAAGTTATCGTAACATGCCTCCTTCTTCGATGATTTACCAAAGACATGTCCTATTTACTCATCAGCGATTGCTCTCGTGCCTCTTTTTGAGGGTTGTGTTATTGTAACAAGGCTTACGATATTTCGACGCGCGCACAAAACGACCTGCCATCGGAGCTCATGTAAAGGTTCGAAAGAAGAAGTTAAAGAGTTATTGAATGTATGTAATTAAGAATGTTGAGGTATTTTCAAAAAAAAAGAATGTTTTATTTCGTTGATGTTGTTGGTGGTGTTGTTGTTGTTGTTGTTTGTTTGATTATTACTCTTGTCTTGTGTTTATGCGAAGCTCGGCCAAAAGTCTTGATGATGCTATCAATGAGTAGGTACCTCTACCTATAGAGATGGTGAAACTCAATTTCTATCGAGTCCCTACTCTGGAGTCTGTAGACGCGAGGCTTTTGCTGTTCAGTGACTGCGCCCGCCAATGGTTTCACGGTTTCCACGGGTTATAAGGTTATTAAACTCTACTACAATGGGAAGTCACGGCCCACCTGTTCAATATCGTTTTATATTAGGAGTTCCTTTGTTTAACCCCTTTTTCTATATTTATATTATGTTCTTTCATGAATTGCATTGGCATTAATTTTATCTACTCCATTCAATGTTATCCATACCTACCTACCCAGGTACGATTTATTAGGTGGATGGTATTATTACCAGCCGGGCAACCTTGGAACTTCCAAGTACGGAATAGACGGAGGACGGAATACGGAATATTGGTTCATTGCTAATATGCTATGGTTCATTAAAAACCCACCCTCTTCAAGACTCAAGCCCACTTTCCGCTGCATAATTCTCCACCCTTTGGTGCGCTTGTACTGTTGAACTGGAGCGGGTGGTGGGACTTGATGTGTATATAGATACTAATAAGAGCGCCTTCTTCAACAAACAACTCTCAAGTTGAGTTCGATGGTCTAATGGTTATGATATCTCGTTCACATACTGTGAATTCACTCCTGAACTCAGTTCTGGACCGAGATGGTTCCGGGTTCGAGACCCGGTCGGACTATACACATTCTCAGTAAATGTTCTTTTTGATGTATTTTTTGATGCTTCATATCTTGGTATAGCTTCAACTCCAGATGCCTTTGCTTTTGGGGGTCTATATAGTTTTTTTTTTGACCTCGAGATGTTCTATTATGTAATCATATACGCACAGACCATAACCTTAAATATTTGGTAGGAACACCAAAACCTTCAATCTTTAATTCCAAATAATAAATAGACTTCATCAAATCTCTCTTGTCTGATAAAATGACGCCCGGCATCAATGAACGGGCGTCAGTTTAAATGAATATTTTAATTATGCCACCAATTCGGTACTAAAGTTAAATGTATAAAAAATAAAGCTAAAGCTTGTGCTACCCTACTTGCCCTCCTGCTCTCCTGCCCTCCTGCCCCCTACTCATACTAGCTTTTCCGAACCGAATCAGTCGTTCTAGTGATCGATGCGGATCGAATTATAGCTTCCGGGGAGAAGGGAAAGGGAGGAAGGGTAGAACGGTTGAAGAGTAGAGCGGTAGAATAAGGAGGATGAAGATAGGGCTTATAACATTTTTTTATACGTTTCGCCTTTGATCCGAATCAGTCCTGCAATTAAACCATTCAATTAAACCAACGCCCGCATGGGGGCGGGTGGCGTCATTTTATCACCTACCCTCCCGTCTACACAAAGTAGAATGAAACCCTGGGAAAGGCTATCATTCCATCGTCATCGCACCATCTGTTGCTTCAATTTTAAAATTTCTCTTGCAAAGCATTTCCTTCAAGACTTCTGACCAGTATTATGTATGTCAAGGTTCAAAGTTGAACATCCAATAGCTAATTAGCCATCTGAAGTATATAGCTAGTCTAAGCCGCTGCTGTACAATCTTTTATTACTATCTGCTCGTTGTATCAGAGAGGATGTCAGATTAATTGTACTGATTTCCTAAGGTCGAATGAGTTCTTGAGTTAAGTTGGTCTTCCCGGCCACCTCCATGAGCGCATCACGCCCAACTAAAACCTCAAAGTATCAAGTTCCCATCGGGACTTTGTCTTCAATTGCTTGCTTCCTCTCATGGCAGTCACTTGCCGCTCTGAAGTATGCAAAAACTTTCTACCATGAAAAATAGCACAAAGTAGTCTATCCCCTCCATCGTCAGGATAGCCAAAAACTAGAATTCTCTTCATAGTAGTTTGAATATCAATATAATAGGTTAAAAATAATATTCAAGATAATTAAAACTAGAAGACGATGGGAGGGGATAGCACGCATAAATCTACAGTAATAGATTTATCAACATTTATGCGCTAAATTCCTACACCTGGAAATTCTTCTGTGGACATTCTTCAGGGGCGACAAGTTTGGAGGTAATAGAGAGTCAAATAATGCAAGATCACCAGTATCGAGGTCTACACAAGAGACTAGACTTCAGTCCGGACCATGATCGCAAGGTAAAGGCAGGTAAGTGGCCAGTAAATTCCCGTCGGGAAAATTCTTATCTATCCCTGTGACTTAGATCTCATCAGTGGTTGTGGCGGAAATAATTGTTTCGGCTTGATTATAAGCTTCATTCCTCAGCAAATGTTTTTGTTGATCACTGACATCTTCTCTATGTTTCCTTGGTCGCCGCGCTCCAAGAATGCTTGGATATCCACATCACATATTTCGCGAAACTGGCGAATATGCACGCGCTTGGGAGAGGGGGGTGGGTTAGGCGAATACCCTCTGTTTATAACCTGAGTGATCTACTGAAATATGATGAAGTTTTATCCCTAGCAAATTACGGTGCTTCTTGTCCCTTTTGCCCATTGCACTCTCTCTTTTGCGCCTGTCTTTTCGTAGTCAATCATTCATTCCGCTGCCCTTTTACAGGACTGTTCACAATCTTTTTACATTTATAATGATTTTCCCCAAAGCAGCAGTGTGGGCTGCGGCTCTGGGTCTTACCGTTTCGACGGTTTTGAGTGAGAGTTCTGGTGGAAATCTTAGTGATAAAGTAGCGAGAGCAGAGGAAGCGCCTGTCGTGTAAGTTTACTTTTGAATGTCTAAGTTTTGAATGGAGGTATCGATTTCGTTTGAAGGAAATATTCACTAACAACGGCTTCAACTGTACAGAGCTAAACGACAGTTTTCACCCTCAAATCCTCAAGATGGTCTTTCGATTGCCAATCTCGTGAAATCACGAGGATTGACCGACCGCTCTTCTATCGCTGACTTCCTAGGCTCGTCAGGTATGGATCATAGCTCAATATCTGATTTCATGTCACAATTATTCGGGGGCAAAGGCGGGAAATCGGGCTTTGGTCCTGGAGGGTCCAACGGCCTTGGTGGTTCTAGCCAGGGAGGCAGCAATAACTTCCCAGGGGGTTTTGGCCATGCTGGTAATAGCGGTGGACATAAAGGATCAAACGGATTTCCTAAATTTCCTGGCTTCTCTGATGTCTTTGGAGATGATGATTACCCAAACAACAGCCCAGGGAGTAACTATCCAGGAGGTCATGGGGGCCAAGGAAGTGGTTCAGGTCAAGGAAGCGGTTCAGGCCTTGGAAGTAATGGATATTGGTCTCCCTACACTCCACTCTTCGAATTTCTACAAGGTTTAGGGGTTGATCCATATTATACCTCCCAGTTTCTCTACAGTTTGGATGCTACTGCCGTCGCCCACTTTTTAAAAGGGCCCGGTGACAGTTCCATCTCTGTCTTTATGCGGGAGGCCGCTGCTGGCGTTTACTCAATCGGCGATTTTCTTACCTATTTGGATGACCTCTCCCGCTATAACTTCTTACAATCGTTGGGTTTCCCTTTGATTAGCGGTTTTCCAAACCCGCCCGTATCTCCACTCCCACCGAACTTGTTGGTTACTTCAACTTCCGCATCCCAAGTTCTTGTTGGAGGGACTTCGACTACTTCAACTTCCTCAAGCCAAATTGGTCTTGTAAGCACTCCCACTTCTAGAATAAGCACTCCCACTTCTAGAACATCCACTTCTGCAAGTGGAAATGCTTTTGTAAGCACTCCAACTTCTAGAACATCCACTTCTGCAAGTGGAAATGCTTTTGTAAGCACTCCAACTTCTAGAACATCCAGTTCTGCAAGTGGAAATGCTTTTGTAAGCACTCCAACTTCTAGAACATCCAGTTCTACAAGTGGAAATGCTTTTGTAAGCACTCCAACTTCTAGAACATCCGGTTCTACAAGTGGAAATGCTTTTGTAAGCACTCCAACTTCTAGAACATCCGGTTCTACAAGTGGAAATGCTTTTGTAAGCACTCCAACTTCTAGAACATCCAGTTCTACAAGTGGAAATGCTTTTGTAAGCACTCCAACTTCTAGAACTTCAACTTCCTCAAGCCAAATTGGTCTTGTAAGCACTCCAACTTCTAGAATAAGCACTCCCACTTCAAGAACATTCACTTCTGCAACCGGGAATCCTTTATCGCCCTCAACATCTAGAACTTCAACTTCCTCAAGCCAAATTGGTCTTGTAAGCACTCCAACTTCTAGAATAAGCACTCCCACTTCAAGAACATTCACTTCTGCAACCGGGAATCCTTTATCGCCCTCAACATCTAGAACTTCAACTTCCTCAAGCCAAGTTGGTCTTGTAAGCACTCCCACTTCTAGAACATTCACTTCTGCAACCGGGAATCCTTTATCGCCCTCAACATCTAGAACTTCAACTTCCTCAAGCCAAGTTGGTCTTATAAGCACTTCCTCATCTACAAGCTCGGTAGCAACTCTGAGAACTTCCAGCACCAGTTCTTCGCCCCGTTCTAGTTCAAGCTCCGTATGATTTCTTAACCCTTTGGTGAACCAATGCTAATATTGGAAAGTCCTCGATACTATCACTAGTAGGATCGACTTCGACTTCAAGTTCCTTTACCCGTTCCACTTCTAGTTCTGTATGGTACCCCAGGCCCAAGATAAATAAATCACTGCTAATCTTGAATAGTCGGTACTATCACTAGTTTCAAGTTCCCCGATCCGTTCCAGTTCTGTATGATTTTCTTATCCCTAAGATGATTCAATGCTAACAATTTTGGACAGACGTCGGCCCGACCATTAAGCGCGTCAACTTCAAGTTCCTTTACCCGTTCCACTTCTAGTTCTGTATGGTACCCCAGGCTTAAGATAAATAAATCAATGCTAATTTGGATAGTCGGCACTATCACTAGTTGCATCAACTTCAAGTTCCCCGATCCGTTTCAGTTCCAGTTCCAGTTCTGTATGATTTTCTTGTCCCTAAGATAAATCAATGCTAATAATTTTGAACAGACGTCGGCCCGACCATTAAGCGCGTCAACTTCAAGTTCTTCGACCTTAATTTCCTCGATCCGTTCCAGTTCCAGTTCCAGCTCTGTATGATTTCTTGTCCCTAAGATGAACCAATGCTAATAATTTTGAACAGACGTCGGCCCGACCATTAAGCGCGTCGACTTCAAGTTCTTCGACCTTAATTTCCTCTATCCGTTCCAGTTCCAGTTCTGTATGATTTTCCATGCCTAACATAAATAAATCATTACTAATTTGGATAGTCGATATTATCACTAGTTGCATCGACTTCAAGTTCTTTGCCACGTTCTAGTTCTACTTCTAGTTCTGTATGATATTCCTCGCTCAACATAAATAAATCAATCAATACTAATATTCGATAGTCCTCGGCCCGACCATTAAGCGCATCGACGTCAAGTTCTTTGCCACGTTCTAGTTCTACTTCTAGTTCTGTATGATATTCCTCGCTCAACATAAATCAGTCAATACTAATATTCGATAGTCCTCGGCCCGACCATTAAGCGCATCGACGTCAAGTTCTTCGACCTCAGGTCCTTTCACCCGTTCCAGTTCCAGTTCTGTATGATTTCCCTCTTAATATAAATAAATTGATGCTAATATTGAATAGTCCTCGGTACTATCACTAGTTGCATCGACTTCAAGTTCCTTAACTCGTTCCAGTTCTACCTCTGGTTCTGTATGATTTTTCATGCCTAACAAACAAATTAATGCTAATAATTTTGGATAGTCAT